CCCTCCCTCCCTCCCCCCCGCCCCCACCATGTGTTTCCACCTTCGGTCGTCGCCATCCCTAAGAATCCGCCGGAACTCACAGAGGAGGCTATTTTCTGTTGTCGGAGGGAGTGGTGGTTTGAAGTGCCTCCTCACCTTTTCTGACACCTCACCTATGTGAAAGGATGATTGCGAATTAATTTGTAGTTTAAGATTCCCTCCTCTACCTTAACTGAAGGGATTTTATGACTCGCTTAGAACGCCTAGTCACCTCTTACGACTACCGCTTCTAAATTCAGAAGTAACCTTTGTCGCACCTTCGCAATAAAGGTGGCGTTACCTTCACATCCATTATCGGACCATCAAAGCATCAGTAGACGTGGTCGCTTTAAGTCTTTTGCGATTTCCGATGCCTTAACATATCAATAAAAGGGGTGCACGACACCTTAACGTATCGCTATAAGGGTTGCAAAAACTTTTAATGTGCAGTCGTCGTTGTCACTATTGCGATTCCCGATGCTCAAACCTTTTTGCTAAAAGGGGTCGACAACGGGTATGCCATCGGTGAGGGAATCCAGTTGCAATCTCATCTAATGCGGTGAGAGGTAAGTACAAGGACGCAATTGTGGGTCGGGCTCATATTATATGGGCGACTGTATGCGGACTCACACAGTCAGGGGGAGTGGACCCCTGCGTATGATTGAAGCTTAATTTTTATTAATATTATTTATATTTTAATTTATTGTATTTTGAATTTGAAGCAACTGGCGGTGCCTGACGAGAGTAACGAAACGCCCTCGTGCACAGGGAGAGAGAGAGAGAGAGAGAGAGGGAGAGAGACCACTTTCATGTTTCTGGCCAGGACAACATCCAGGCGCATTTAAATATGACTGGGGAGTGAGAAAGAGGTTGGATGAGAGAAGGGGAGAGAGAGGACTCAGGGCAGCGTGTGTGATCAAGCGGGTATGAGAGTGAGATGGCGCGTGCGCGAGTGTGTGTGTGAGGGAGGGAAAGTGAAAGGGAGAGAGACGAAACTGAGGAGAAGAACAGCAGCAATCTGAGCTAACCGATGGCTTACTGCAGGAGAATATTTCACCTAACTTTTTGACATGGTCTCGGTAGAACGTCCGTCATTTTTCACACACAACACGAATTCAAGATCAGTTTCG